AAGATATTCTAACGATGCCTGGGGTTAATTTAACTAAAACAAATTCATTCAGTTCATGGTTTCAATCTGAATTCATGCTGTACGGTATTATTATCTCTGTGGAGGACTCCCAGCTGTCAGTTTAAGTCTAAGGATAAGGTCACTGACCTGACCAACCTACTCAATGTTTATTGTCTGCTGTTTCTCCGAGTTGATCTTTTTGTCTCTGCTCTCCCCCTTTAATGCTCCCCTCTCTGCGCTTCTAGTCCTGCAGGAAGTTTTTTTTTCTGCAGGGGACCTTCCATGACAATAGAAGGTTATTATTTTGCTAGAATGCCCTTAGATAAATCGTGTTGTGATGTGGCGCTACAGAAATAAAGCTGAATCGAAGGAATTGATAACAACACAGCTATTAGTGCGGGTGTGAGGCGGATGCAGGCAGGTGGCTGTATGTCTCTATGTGAGACGTGACACCAGAATGTAACCGATGGGAAACTTAAAACAACTAAGCAAGGGTGTGTTTCCACACTCTTCCACGAATTCCAATTAAAATGATGGCACTGCAACATTTAATTTTCTGATTAAATAAATCCTCCCCTCCCTTTTTGGAGGGAAAGGTAACACAAATTAACTGAGATAAGATTTACTTACACATTTTTATATCCATCAGACTCCGATATCTTCAGCATGACGCACAGGCTGGAAACATTGATTTATCCTTTGATTTGTCAGTAGTGCTCATATAAGTAACTTCGGCTCAGTGTCATACTCTAGGGACCTACGGAAGCGCGATTGTGTGCATCCTTTTAATTTGAGCAAAATCAAACATTTCTATAAAAGTTGTGGACATCTCTGTCAGAATTGATGAAGTTAGAAAAAATATTGAAAACATGTCTTGATGAGCAGATTAGAGGTAACTACTTTTCTTTGTAGTACCGATATCTTATCTGGAAAATTAAATGATCATAAAGCCATTTCTGCAGCAGCTGATTACTGGAGACGGCAGTGCCCATCAAATACACTTCAAATCCACATAGTGGCCCAACGCGCGCAATCAGCGGTCTGCTAGCAATCCCGTCCCTTCTCGATCACATAAACACCACTTAAACGAAAATATACACGACCACCTACAGCGCAGGGAAAGTGATGAGGGGGTGCCCACTCCGACATTAGGACACACTGTTTTTAATTAAAGTGACAATGCTGAGTGAACTACAGGCGACACTGCAGAAGCAAAGAGCCAGAAACCCATCTTACACAGTTAAGAATACAAATTGTTTAAAAATGTTTAAAAACATCAAAAACACATATATATGAATAACATTTCAATCGGATTACTTTTTTATTTGGGTTATTAATGTTAGTCAATAAAGCATTAAATATTTATCAGAATTCTTATAAATGCGAGATAAACACTTTTATTTTCTACATTTTTCTCGAGCATTTGTGTGCAAAACTGAGAGCTCGGCACTATTTGTGCATTTAAAAAGTTGCTGACATTTCAGTTCTGTAGAACACGTAAAAATAAAATGGGTGTGAGAATAAAAAGTAAAGAGAAAAACCTATGTCGTTAAAAAATACGATAATTCAAACTCTGAACCAGATTCTCTTATTATCAGCCATTCATGTCTTTGTTAATTGATTTCAGCTCCCTGAGAGACTGAGGTTAGATCTTATTTTTTATGTGTTGATTCGAGCTCATAATAATTAAAAATGTGTTTTTCTTTCTCAGATTTGCAGTCAGTTTAGGTCAAACAAACGACATTAATGGAAACATTTATTCATGTGTTTTTTTGTTCGGTTTTTTTGCTATCCATGTCTTATTCCCGTTTTCAAGTACTGTTTATAAAATAAAAATGTATTAGAAATTTTTGCCTATAAACTTATTTCAAGTTCAAGTCGGTCGAATTTACAGCCAGTTGATCGATTACTTGTCATACACTCCTTGAAACAAGTCCCTGCGGCCTCTCTGTGACCCTCCTTTACCATTAAAGAGGGAAACGGTTTATTAGTTAAAGAAAGAAACATTTAACCAAGTTATTGCACCTAATATTCTGAGAGTCTCTCTCCACCTTAGGCCTAATCTCGCCGAGCTTGTATTTTGTTCAGAGTCCAAATCAAATTAAGATCATAGCTTCCGCTTCTTTTAAATCTGTGATCCGCCAGGTGTAGGCATAATGTAATACTCGTGACAAGGAAATTATTTCAAACTTTATAATGTCAAGTCTTTCTTAGATGATCACGGCACCTCATTTTATCATTTAATCACGTAATATCAGATATCAGTAAGTTTCTGTTTTTTTATTTTGTGCGCAGTGGCAAGACTGAGCTGAAGAACATGGCAATGCTGCTTAGACTGAATTGGAAAATAATTAAATTTAATATACATACATAGTTTTTTTTCATTATTATTATCTATCATAGGTGTGATCCTATGAAAAGTAGGCTCTCTTAAGTAAGAATGTGACAAACAAAAAATGTCTACGTACAGGTCAGCAGATTATTGTAACAACGCGATCAACCGAAAATCTGTTTCAGTAAATACTAGTGAAGCGACCCGGAAAGCCTGTCAGTACTGTGCGCTCTGCGGTGTACCTCCACCTAAGTGGACAAGCATTCCTGAGGATGCAGCGCTGTCAAATATTTCAAGATGCGACGTCACGGAAAAGTGCACGACTTCGTCTGCGACACAGCAAAGGGGAGGTTCTGACCTCGGATCTCCAGCCCCAGTGATGATGAACATAATATGCCACCTTTTAGGCAGTTTTGTGTGTGTGTGTGTGTGTGTGTGTGTGTGTGTGTGTGTGTGTGTGTGTGTGTGTGTGTGTGTTTGCATACCTGTCCATAGGAGGGGACAAAAAGATTTTCAAAACTCGCTGTTTCCATTACATACAAAAAAAGGACATTTCTTGTACTTGTACTGTATAATATTCCTGTATTCTTGTACTGCTTGTACTATGTGATATTCTGAGGGTGAATAATACCTTTAATCGATTTCTCCATTATGAAAATATATAACTTTGCACCGTGTGAATACGCAGCAGAGGCCATCAAACAGACAATTTCTTCTTAAACACAAGAGACACATCCCCTCACCTATATAAATGCTTTTGTATATATAGATATATTTGCAAATAACCTGACTCTGAAGAGCGTGAGACAAAGAATGGTATGAAGTCATCAGCGGTAATTAAATGCAGTGGGCAGAAAGAGGACGGGAGCGCGCCTGCCCCTGGTGCGCGCTGGGTGGTCTGCTATGCTGATAAATGTGTGGCCCTCACTTCAGGCGATTGGCCGAACAGGCACTGGTTAAAACAATACTTACATTCACTTATCCGTGGTTCTAAATCTCCTCTGCAACAGTAAAATCTAACCTTGGCACGGCTATCACCTTTGGGCTGACAATGATTTTTTGTTTTTTTACAGAGAATTGTTTTCTCGATTTCCCTTTGGGCAAACTACTTGGAACAAAAGAAAACCGCCCGCTTATGTTTTGGCACTGGGGAATTTAATCAGTAGGAACATTAATAAACCGCGCGATATTTTACTTATACACTGAGTTTGATTAAAATGTGTCACCTCAAACGGAACTCCTTGAAAAGATTACAGGATTTTTGCGCACAATGGAGTCGTCAAACACTGGTTTTACGCACGAACCAAAATACATATATTCGCCTCGTATTTATGTCCACGGTGCCAAAATCAACAGTCACGAACCCCTAAAAAACAATAACGCCGACAGCGAGCAGAAACACGCGCTCATCTAACTGAATTCAAAAGGTTGCAGGCTGCAGCTATCGAGATCTCCAGGGAACAATAACCAACCTACTGTCAACAGTTTCAGGCTATACTCCTCGACTTCCAGTAGCTCTCGCTCGCAATTTTGTGAGAGAGCAATAAAGCGATCTTAAAGTTGGTTTTTCAGTGTTGGAAAAAAAGAAAACAACAATTTTCCAAGTAAACTGTCACTTAGTGCAAGAAGGCAGAGCTTGATCCAAATTTGAACTCAACTTTTCTAATTGTCCTATATTATGTAACATAATGCAAATCGAACACTCTACGTCTCCTGCTGTGGGGATTAAAGAGCTGCATCACTAGTAATCCTGTGAAATGAAAGCCTTAAATCCACCTTACTTCAATTCCACGATCATTCGATGGAGAAGTGCCTGCAGAAGTCGATCTCAAGTCCCAGTCCGAGTTTCTGTGTTCAGAGTTCGGAGGAGCTTCCACCTCACTCCTCTTGCGTCCCCGCGTAAATATTATGACTACATTACACAAACAATATTCATGTGTTAAAACGTCCAGCATCGACTCTCCGAACAGGCAAGCATATCGCATCAGATTGAGTATTAGCTGATCTAACTGGGCTTTTGCTTGATTTTTTATTTAAAGAAGGCCAGGGAAAATGTTTACATTTTGCTGTATAAACATCCTGCCCATGTTCCTGTCTATCTTTTACAGAAATCAAGAGGGTGGTTTTGAATATGAGGGGCATGTTCTCTGGTAAATGTTTTCCATATACTAAAAATGTGATATAAAGTAGCTTTTAAATCGTTTTAATTACAAAGGAGACATAACAAGGCTGCAGTCGTGTGGCTCTTGGGTTATGTGGCCTGCAATGGCGGGATACTGCTTGCAGGTTTAACAACAGATATCAGTTGTATAAATAGTGTTAGAATGATCATAACCCTAAAAAGAACATCGTATTAGAGAACAAGCAAAGCCAAAATCCGAATGCTGAATCTAATGCATTCACTTAAATAGTATAAGCTTATGCAAATCATTAACGGGCATTTGAATTTATTTGTGCTCTGAGGGATGTGTTAGCGTATGGGTCCTTGAAATTAAATGTTATATGTAAGATATATTCTCTATTTCTGTGTAAGGACGGAGGAAAAAGAAAGATTTCACTGAAAAGTGAACGCACACAGATGTGCAAGCTTACAGCCCACCACTTGAGTAGGAGGGCAATCGGGGAACTGGGCGGGTCCCAACATTAGGATGACCAAGACATACAGCTTCCAATGCGCCGATGGCAACAGATAAGTAAAAAGTGAGCTCCTCGGACGCACGACAACACACCAACTGAAGTGGAAAGCGGCTCCTGTTCTTCTCTTTATCCCATTTCGGGCACTGCGTACAAGGCGGTCCGGCTTCAGACTGCTGCAGGACTGAATCAAAAGCAACAGCTAAGAAGATAATCGCGCCTTTGCCTCTATCGCCACTATCATTATTCGATTTTTTTTCTTTATGACACAAATTTAGTACCTAACTTACTATTTTTTATAGGTGGAAAAGCAATTCTGTTTTTGTTTTCCGTCTCGAAGATTAAATTTAACTAATGACGGCAGAGGTTCAGCAGCCCCCAGCACAGACTCCTGCCCAGAGCAGCCCGATGTCTGCTCCGGAGAAGCCACACGGACAAACGGTGGTGATGGAAACTGCCTCCTCCACTACGAAAACCAAAAAGACAAACGCAGGGATCCGACGACCAGAGAAACCACCTTATTCCTACATAGCTTTAATAGTTATGGCTATTCAGAGCTCTCCAACAAAACGCCTGACCCTCAGTGAAATATATCAGTTTCTACAGAGCCGCTTCCCGTTTTTTCGAGGCTCGTACCAAGGATGGAAGAACTCCGTGCGTCACAACTTGTCCCTGAACGAGTGCTTCATTAAGTTGCCCAAAGGCCTCGGTCGACCGGGGAAAGGACACTACTGGACTATTGACCCGGCTAGTGAGTTTATGTTCGAGGAAGGCTCCTTCAGAAGGAGACCCAGGGGTTTTAGGCGCAAGTGCCAGGCGCTGAAGCCCATGTACAGCATGATGAACGGCCTGGGATTCAACCACATCCCCGAGTCTTACAACTTCCAAGGGAGCGGCGGGGGCCTATCCTGTCCGCCCAACAGTTTGTCTCTGGACAGTGGGATTGGGATGATGAATGGACACTTGGCAGGTAACATGGAAGGGATGGGTCTGTCCGGACACTCCATGTCACACTTGTCGACCAACAGTGGACATTCCTACATGGGAAGTTGTACAGGATCCACTGGGAGTGATTATCCCCACCACGACAATTCCGCCTCCCCTCTGCTCACCAGCGGAGGAGTCATGGAGCCTCATCCCGTATACTCGAGTTCAGCCTCTGCGTGGGCTCCAGCCCCTTCGGCCTCATTGAATAACGGGGCTTCCTACATCAAGCAGCAGCCTCTGTCCCCCTGTAATCCAGGAGCGAACCCACTGCAGCCAAGTTTGCCCACACATTCACTAGACCAACCATACCTGCACCAGAATGGCCACAGCACCACAGATTTACAAGGTAAGTTTATATGTGTGTGTGTATATATATTTAATTTTCTAATTTAAAAAAAAAAGCGCAAAAGGTTCAGAGAAGCCGGGCCTGATGGTATAAAGAACATTTGCGAGCTATGACAAAGATAAAGGAAACGAAAGATTTTATTCAAATTAAGACGCTTTGGTTATTAGAGGATAGAAACAGAGATAATATACTGTCCACATATGTCTGTGGTTTACAGAATTTTATTCCACATATCATGCGCCAAACTTGGGCCTAGTGGAAATGTTGAGTAATTCTGAAGAGCATCACACTGAAATGCGCCGGATTTATTCTGCAGTCAGTAAACATAAGGCTTATCTGTGCTGTGCATAATTGAGGGATTGGAATTAAGGCTATTAAGGAAATGATACAACACAATTTAACCACTTTTTTCGTAAATAAAGTTCCAGTATTTTGTGAATCATTAAACATAATAAATCAGGTTTATTAAAATAAAACCCAGACAGAAGACCAGAGGGGTTCAAACCTCCTGAACGTGTGGTATTAAAAAATAATAAATCAAGAGATGGTTGAAAGAGTCTACCGGGAGAGTTTAGAGTCACGCCAATCTGTGGACAAAAAAACAAAAAAAACAAGCGCGGTTAGGTCCAGCCTGCCTTGCCTCGAGGCTCTCGGTCCTCCGGGACTGGCGTGCAAAGGGGCCACTGTCAATTAGCCCTGCAAGCCCGCCTCCCCTTTTGACAATCTTTATCGGGTTTACTAAATGGACTTTGGCCCTAAGAGGAATGCATGCATTTCAGTTAGTATAATAGAGTGAAGCTCAATTTACAAATATAAACTTCTTTCTTACACAGAATATAAAGTGCCTACACATACAGCAATCTTTTTGCGGTAAAATATGGTAGATATAGAGCATATTATTATTATTATTATTATTATTATTATTATTATTATTATTATTATTATTATTATTATCACCACATATAACAGTTTTATTATTAGGGTTTCCAGAACGCATAGCGAAGGTCTGTAGAACTGGATAATTAGTCTAGTATCAGCAAGATTACCAATCAAATCGTGTTGCAAATAACTTGTAAGCATTTAAATAACTTTTTATTTCAGAACTATAAACAACATTTTTCTTAACTGGGGGAACATAAGGTAACATAGGTTACTAGCCTTCAAGTACATTACATTTAAAAGTGACCCTTTAAAATTATTATTATTAGTAGCATTTCCATTCATGTTTTAAATGCTTTTTTGCAGGTATTCCTCGGTACCATTCCCAGTCTCCCAGCATGTGTGACCGAAAGGAGTTCGTCTTCTCGTTCAACGCCATGACTTCCTCAGCCATGCACTCACCGAGCAGCGGCTCCTACTATCACCACCAACAGGTCTCCTACCAGGACATTAAGCCCTGCGTGATGTGATGTCCTCCGTGGACAGTCTAGAGACTAGAAGATGGTGTCACAGACTTGAGCCATGAAGCAAAACGGACTGAAATGAACAACGAATGAGTAAACTACCACTGAGAGGCATGCCCCAGTCCTGGAGAGTGCTCACTGCTTCAAGTAGATTGGACTACTTCTCTGTGCTGTTACACACAGGGACAGAGACACGGAGACAGGCCAATTATAAAGCAACCACATAATAATATATAATAATAATTAAAAACAAACTCTTTTATGCCATCTTCATCAACATCGACCAGCGGGGTAAAGCGTGGGCGTAAGACACCCTGCTGTTGTTTGGGTACTTAGTCCTGCAGAGCGGATGACTACCACTTCACACTTTTGTTCTTGTGTATTCATCTTGTTAAAGTAGGTCAATGTTTAAAAAAAAGAAAAAAAAAAAAAAAAAAGCAAAAAATTCCCCCGCCCAAGGTTTTAACCTTTTTTTTCCTTTCATTTTTTTGGACTTGCATACAAATGTTAGATTCTGAGATGAACAATTATGGACGTTACATAGCCTGTATAATGTAAGTCCATATACTGTATACTGTGTAAAAACAATGACGGCACTTTTTGAATAACCTATAAGCGCAACTTTTTTTTTATTTATTCTGTAGGCCTATATTTTAATTTCAGGCGAACTGGCCAAGGAGTTATATGCTTTATTGGCAATATTTGTCAGAACGCTTATTATTTGTTTTAAAATGAAAAATTGAGGATATATTGTAAACACTGTTATGTCTTTTGTGTCAGCTATATGTAGACCATTACTTTCAGCATTGTATACATTGGTAGAAGAAGGGGGGGGGGGGGGGGAGTCTAGCAAAGGGTCCACCAGCGAGGGTTTGTCTTTAGACTATATTACAACAAAGCATTAAGAAATAAAATATCTTTTCGGCTCTTTAAGCCGACAATTCCACCAAACGACATCCATTTCGATTTTATCGCACGCAGACAATTTTCGGGGGCGATGGTCCTGCAAGCAAACATGCCTTGTAAACAGATGCAAAGACAGTGATCCTTATTGCATAATTAACCCCAAATTAGCTTATTTAAAGATGGGAAGCTTTTTTTGTGTGTGTGTCCAATTCTTCAGCAGCCTTCTCGTGTAAATGTATATTATTGCAATTCTTTAATGTAAAGCGATGGTTCGTTTATTTAGGGTTTAAAGCACAACCGGTACCCTCGGTACTACAGACAGTTGTCACTGTGGTGCAGTTAGGTCTTCTATTTCAAGCAATTACTGCAGCAGTCTGTTGTTTTCACCTACAGTTGATGTCCAACTTTGAAAATTAGAATTATTAGAAGAAACTAAACTTTTCCCAATTCATTGGTCGACTGGTGAACATTAACAGTCAAGGGTTTGAAAGGTTAATCGTAACATGTCTTCGATCTGTTGAGAGTGTGCAGTAGTTAAGGCGTAACAAATCCGAGGCAGAGATCTCACACGCGTCTGGTTACAGGGTGAAAACCTGCAGCAGTCCCGTTGCTTTGGCAGTGAGGCAGTTGTTTTCCTCAGACGCATTTGTCCAAAGAACATTTCTTGCCATGGTGGAAATACAATAAATTGCGCTGATCTAATTTAAGGAGCATAACTTTGTAATAATTAGTTTTGGAGTGTTCCGCAAAATGCGTAATTGTACAACAGAAAATTGGCCTAGGAAAATTAAAAACAAAGAAAAAACAGTAGGGCCGATGTTTCATAAAGAAGAACATCTTTATTTCTCATCTAAAATGAGTTGTTTTTGTTACATAAAATAGATATACCACTCATGATACTGCAAAGACAAAAATAATAAGCAGTTAAAAGTACTCATAAATAATACGCATAACGTGTATTGTACTGTGTAAAATCCTGGTTATCTTATCTCAGAGTCAAAATATTTTAATTTTACAGATGCAAATTATTATAAGGGACACGTTTTTTTTTCCTTTATCAGATTTCTGATCAATTAATTTTAACTGTTGTTTTTCGACATTCACAAACACGCATGTCTGTGCGGCTTAAAACCAATTTGGCAATTTTTTCATCTGAATGACCGCAAATCATTAAAAAAAAATAAATAAATCCGGACGTCGTTTCTTATTTTAAATTTCTTCAAGTTTCAAGCAACATTTATGGCGTTTAAAAAGTTGTTCCTAATGTAAGAGTATGGTGGATACAATCTATTAAGTGCATCAACACAGTCAGTGCAGATTAATCCGATGCTCATGCTTGTGATTTAGATTAAGTAAACCAACTGCGGTTTGAGGCCTTTTGTTATCTTCTTTAATCTTGACGGTTAAGTCATGTTTGCTGATGTTTGTGTGTACAACTACATCTTTACAAGGGGATGTAACATGCTCCACAGTGATACGCTTTGCAATCTCACCACATGACCACTGACTGAACCCCAGTAAAACGAGCATGCCATTGAGCACAGGGGTAAGCAGGCTTAACAGCAGTGGAACAGAGCATTAACAAACTGATGACATTTGCCAAGGTTCAGTGCTCTGGAGGGCTGAGGGAGAGAGATGGCGTTCCACAGCTGTTCCCTGGCCAGGCCTGGATGACAGCTCCATAAAAAGCCAGAGGCCTGGTACTGTGCAGACAGACACACTGCTTGTGTCCCAATCCTGCCAAGACTTTAGTGCAAAACAGGACATCTATGGGTTAATTTCTTAGGTAATGGCAGTGCAGCTACAGAGACAGGTGTAAACAGAAGAAGAAAAAAATAGAGTCATTGGGCAGGTTATCTAGCACTCGGGTTTACAGAAGTTTGAAGGTAATGTTAACAGACACATTTTCCAAACAGAGAATAAGAAAAATGTCACTCTGCAAAAATGAATTAATCTTTTAAAGTTTTCTTTAAGCTTAAAACTATTTCAAGTTTACAAGCTGGCATTTTATACGTTACAACTGGGTGAAACACATCAAGTTTTATGAAAATCCAATAACGGGCCTGAAATATCATATTTAACCACTAACAACATAGTTCTGCCTCTTCACGAGAACGATGGTTTGAGGTGGTGGGGAACTTCAGAATCGGATCTCCAAATTCTGCAAAACCTTGTGAACATTTATAATCCATCAATTTTCTTTTTTGTTTGTTTTTCATAAAAAGACACTCAGTGTTAACGGGTACAGTCAAACGCTTTAGTGAAGAAATAAGTAAAGTCATGTGAAGCAAATTTATCTAATATTGAGGGCAGCATCACACTCTCACTGGTATTTAGTCACTATAATGGTGCAAATATAACTGTAAAAATGAACGCTAGCTAAAAAACAAAACAAAAACAAAGAAAACAGAACAGCAGCAATAGAGGCCTTTAGCTCTTCCCCTGTTTATCGTTGTAATCTGCCCGTTTTAGATTTTCATGGTTAAAAAAAAAAAAAAAAAAGAAAATCATACAGTAGTAGAGACTATCCAATAATCCCGTGTTATGTACAAGAATCAATCAAGTCAAGAAAATCACAACTAAGTCACAGTTATTTGTAAACTCTTTACATTTCTGTAGTCTCATTAAAGTTCATTAAACTTTAAACACTTGGAGTCTGTTCACAAGTTCTGTAAATCTGGATGAATTTGGACAATGAAAAAGACAAAAATGGTCAAAGGTAGAAGCCTGCGTGGCTAGACTATTGTTAGATGATGAAATGTTATATTTTACTCCCAGTTTTGTGACTCAAATGATCAAATGTTGTGACTTGCCACACGCAGGTGCCATTTTGAACAAAACGAACCCATTTTTAAACAAGTAGGATGCAGACAAACAGGTCTGGCAACATCATGGATGTGATAATACTGACAGCTAGTTTTGAGGGGGAAAAAAAATAAATAAAAAAAGCACTAGCCTTTTTAATTTTTTTTTTAATTATTGTATGGTAGCAAAAGTACTGCATGCAGTTTGTAGACTGAAAGAGAAAATGAGTGTTGTGTTTCTAAGAATCTCTGATAAAGGCACTTTGAAGAGAAAACGATTGGGACAAATTTAAAGAAAGAAAGCTCCTGTAGCCCACTTAACAGAGCATATTGCAAAATCTTAGTCGTTATAGAATTTGTCTGGATTCAAATCAGCACAAGGTTCACTACTCTCATAGTTTCAGGTGTTGTTAATATTTAGTCAAGCCTGCTAGGTTCAAATGTGTTCTCTTCTAATAAATCACATTTTTGTTCATATTTTTTTTTAAAGCAAAAAAAACAATCAACTCCTTTTATGGTGTTTGCAGTTATCCAAAACTGTAAACAACTTAAGCATTACATTAGGTATATTTCTTACTGCTTTTACTGCTCAGTTTTTTCTGTGGCATCACTCTTAGCATCTGGTGCTGATACTTCAGACTTCGGAGCCGCTGCTGGTTTTGGTCTTCTACTGGATTGTCCAGATTTCCTGCCTCCTCGCTGGCTCTTGGCCAGTTCAGCCTGCAGACTGTGACCATTGAGAGCGAGCCCCTGCAGAGCCTCCAGGGCCTGATCTGCAGCGTGGGGGTCACTGTAATCCAGGAAGGCCCTGTGCTGAGCTCCCTGCCAGGTGAGTCTCAGTGGAGTGGCCTCCCTCTCTCGGAGGGCGGTTTTCAGCTCACTAACACGCAGCCCAGCAGGGATTCCTCCCAGATAAACTGTTGTCACACTCAGATGGAGCTTACGCTGAGATTTGACTTCATTCCCACCCTCTTCTGGGACCTGCTCCTTTGTGTTCCCTCTACTTTTTCCCTTTATTGTCTTGCCAATTTCTTGCCCGTTACCTGCCTTGCCGTCTCCTCTGCTTTCTTTATTCATTCTAGTCAGATGCTGTCTGGCTTTTGGTTCTCCCGCTATTCTTTTTTCCAGTCTAGAGTCCTGGCTGGATTCTCCCTCAGCATCCTGCTGTGTGTTTGGCCTCAGCCTCCGTCTGGTTTGCCTTTTGGGTTGACTGGCGTGCAGACCAGCTTCTGCCGCAACAGGCGCTGCCCCCAGTGTTACATCCTTTCCAGCTTGTTCTTCAAGAGCACGCAGCTTCTTCAGGATGGGGATCTTTTGCAGCTTTTCTGTGTCCAGCTGAAGACAAAACTGGACAGACTCAGTAATGCTGAAATGAAAAAAATGTGTCTCACACAGCATACAAACAGACCTGCTCAGGGCCGATGCAATGCACCTATTCATAATAAAGAGAAAGCTGATAGCTCCTCACAGCCCATGCTTAAAAACCATCTTAATACCAGCAGGATATTTCACTTCCCAAGCAGTTAAAAATAAAGACTGCTATCTTGATTTGTTGAGTCTTCAAGTGTCTTGGCAGACTTTGATGCTGACCAGTCCTGTAAAGGATATACGGACCTATTGTTTTTACACTGGCCTGTTTGACCCGTCATTCCCCTGCAGAGCCAAGGTGGCTGGGCAGAGAAGCCTTTGATGATCAGACACGGCCTTCCTGTCTATGAGGTCACTGGGTCCTGTTTACTTATATGCATGTTGTAAGGAACCCAGAGGTTACACACAAACTTACCACATAAGAAAAATAACCTTTACCTATGTCTAATTAAAGATAAATTATCAAGAGGAAAAACACATTTCATCTTTGTGCCACTGTCAGTAAATCAGAAGCTGTTTATGGTCCAGGCTGATTTAAATACAGACGATGATGTGAAATGAGTGGTAAATAAGACTGATAAAGCACTATAAATATATCAGTAAAATTCCCAAGATAAAACAAACTAATTAACTGTGTTTGTTTTTTTAAAGTAAACAATTTTACATAAGTGTGTACTGTACACACCATTCATAAAAACTAAAACTTTTTTTTTTATTTCTAAGAAATAAAAAAGAAAATAACTGGAATTTTTTTATTTTTTTTGCAAAATGGCATTATTACAGTAAGTGCACTCAGAAGAATAAACAATGCTGGATAGACCGTCCTCCAGTGAGCTGTAGGTTTTCTATGTGTCCACTAGAGGGCAGTGTTACTAAGGAAACGCAAAATTTTTGTCATGTAACCAAAGCAGCGCATTTTCCTATAAACTCTATGTTAATATTTGATCCCATGAAGTAATTATAAAGACTCATGTGTGCTATTGTCATATCTTGTCTTGTCCTAAATTGTAGAAGAGATTAGTACAAGCTAATGTATACTTTCTGAACACAAAAACTTCAGTTGTTTTTTTTTTTTTTTTGTTCTTTTTTAAATTTAGTGTTGGGCATTTATTCTCCCTCTAAATGCCGGTTTCATTATGTTGAATGACAACAGGGGTGGAGACCTGATCAAACATTCATGAAAAACATACTTTCAGAGCAAGTCATCTTACTGGAACATCCATATTATCAGATTATTGACTGAAAAACATTTTTAAAAGGTGCAGGATTTTTCCAATAACATTATTTTTCAGTAATGGAAATCCACATACTAAGAGCGAAGCATTAATCACAGATGTTAAGTCTTTCATAGATAAAGGCATTAACGTCATAATTTTTCCAGTGTTCAAATCAGTTACTTTCAGCTATGTTTTACTGAACGCTTTTTTGTATGCCCCTCTTCTAGATAAATCCATCACAGAGATTTGAGGGGAGACATGAGGAATGACATGTATCAGGTCAGGGCAGCCTTGACCTCTCAAAATCAAGTTGACTATGAAATAACTACTATGCTTTACACAAAGCAAAAACAAGCACACTCAGGTTACCTTATTCCAGATGATTCCACGTGGCTTAGGCAACTGGCAATCTGTTTTAATAACTCTGGTCGGTGTGAGGATGTAGTCTACAGTCAGGTCATGACTTCCCATTAGATCTTCTGGAATGTCCATCACCTGAAAGCACAGTTATTCCTCAAGTATTCAAATTACTAATGCTGAAACAAAAAGTGGGAGGAAAAAAAACTCTAAACTATGTCTGTTCATGTCAGTTCGAGCTGCACATCTTTATTTAAAACTGTATTATTCCTCATTTTAATACCAACGTGTTCTTTAGCTTTGTAAAAAGGGACAAGCTGCTTATTGCAAAACAAGATCCATAAAACATTTGAACTGCTCAGTGAGATCAAACTGAATGCGCAAACCAACCTGGCAGTCATGGACAACAGTAACCACCACAGTAGACTCATTCACGGCACCCATTGAAGCCATCATTCCATACTCCAAGTCAGCAAAGCCTTCTCCTTTTCCAATCCGAAAGCCTACAGCGGAAGGCAGAGAGGGAAACTTAATTTAAAAATGTATACTGTGCAGTTTACGAAATCCTTTTGGAGATTTGTAAACTCCTTTATACTGCCTTACAGTAAAACATGTGTTTCGCTGCAGTACTGCATGAGTTATCTTGGGCATTTTAGAAATGAGGATCACCATGGAGTGCGGTTAGCAGACAATTTACATGGCGGGAAGAACACAGGAGAAGCCACAATAAGCAGAAGGGATCTGATTACGTACATCTGCCTCAATCTTATTTCTGCTCTTTTTCCTCTATGCTGGCAGAGTGTGCAGAAGTGCCTCAATAGGCTTAGACACGTGCAGCAATCACAATACCTTTGTTCCATTCTGCTTTCAGTCAGCACAGCCTCTCATCATTTTCCACTGTGTAGTAAACAAGCCTTGCATAAAACAATTTATAATCACCCAAGTAGTGATTTAGGAGAATCGCTATATAATAACAGACTATGTTGTTCATTACTCAGCTAATAATTGTAAATTCATGCTTGAAAAAGCAGGTTTTGCAGCACATGCTGCCTTTTCCATCTTTAGAGGTTCAAGGAGACCTATTGAGCTCATTTGCAGCATAGTTTTCCTCTTGGACTGCAGCACAGTTGACTAAACTAACCTTGCTGCAGTCTCTCCGTTCATAATCTCTGTGACACCATTTTCACTCGTCTCCTTTAAGCCACCTTTCAGCTGGCTTATATATACCCTAAACTCATTGGCTGAAACTTTGGCCACGTTTAATATAAGTATCCAACAGTGTTACTATTGTATATATGAAAATAAAGAAAAAAATTGTTTTACTTTGAACTGAAAAAATATTGTCTATTCTGCAATAATAAACAGTAAATTGCACACGTGGTTCTAACTACTATTTAAGGAGTACTGCATTTTCTTTAGATTTTATATATTTTAGTGCATGTATGGTAAACTTGGTCTTGAATTCACTAGTCTGTTGCTCTCCCACAATCATAAATAATTTAGGTTACCAATATGAAACTGAAATAGTATCGTGACATGGTGTATAAGTCACCTTTCTCCGACACCGCCACAGAACCAACCACCATCAGGTCAATTTTAATTTTTGCATCCAGGCCAACAGGTACACTGAAGTCTTTCACACCCTGGAGATGGTTTGAAGGTTTCAGAAGAAAGAAGAAAGAAAATCTAATTATCATTATTGGGAATTTAAAGAGGAATGACAATGCTGACAAATAAGAGCAAACATTAGTACATTTATACCTGAGAGGAAGAACATATGCGTAGTTGTTCTTTGCTAGCCCCTTCAGGTGGAGTAATCCTATTGAAAAGGCCTGTACGAAGACGAGGAGTTGGGACCAACAAAGTTTTCCGTGCCTGCAAAAATTATTTCAGTAAAATGTTAAAAATAAATAAATAAAAATAAATAAAATTTAAAAAAAGATCCTGAGTTATTTAATAGGACTAGAAATTAAAACTGAGCTGAATAAAATCAGTGGAGTGATGGCAAAATTACAAAAAACAAAAACATTTAAATTTAACTGATGCAAAACACTGATGTGGCTGAAATGTGACTTTACAAAGAACCTACAGGATATTATACAATAACAATCTTATGTAGCAAATTCTTGACCACAGGTGCAAACTCCAGTTCTTGAGGGCCGGTGTCCTGAAACTTTTCCATGTGTCCCTGCTGCAGCACACCCGAATAACATAAGTAGGTCATTAGCAAGACTCCATAGAACAGGGGTGTCAAACTCCAGGTCTCGAGGGCCGGTATTCTGCAGGTTTTAGATCTCAACCTGGGTCAACACGCCTGAATCAAATGAGTAGTTCATTACCAGGCCTCTGGAGAACCTGAGGACATGTTGAGGAGCTCATTTAGCCATTTAAATCACCTGTGTTGGATCAAGGACGCATCTAAAACACCCAGGACATCGGCCCTCGAGGCCTGGAGTTCGACACCCCTGCCATAGAACTTGACTGCATGCCGAGGTGGCAATTCAGCCATTTGATTCATGTTACAGCAGCTCATGAGTGAATGAACATGGTGCAATAAAAGTACTTTTAGAAGTAAATTTTTCCAAACACTTTACTTCAATTTACTTGAGCAGGTTCAGGGGTTGCCACCTCAGCATGCAGTTAAGTTCTATAGAGTGTTGCTAATGACCTAGTTAAGTTATTCAGGTGTGCTACAGCAGGAACACATTTAAAAGTTTCAGGACACCAGCCCTCGAGGACTGGAGTTTGACACCCCTGTTCTAGACTGTAATAAAACAGTCTAAAATTTCTCATTTAAAATTCTGCTTGCATTTAAAAATTCAAAAGAAAATCATGTAATCCAGCCTGAGGCACTCTGCTTCTTGGTACTTTGTTTTTTTCCCAACACTGCAGTGCTACCTGCAGCACTGCCAGCCGAGCACCCTCCAGAGGTTTGTCAGGATCCACCTTCACCTCAGATGTGTGGATGAACGCCTGCAGCTCCAACACCTTGGCGCAGGCCGCAAAAGCACCCTACAGCAGAAAGGAAGGCATCTGATCATAGGGTCCTCGAGTCAACTTACTTCCAAGGTGATAAAGCGTGCCTGCTGCTGGGGTCTGTCTGGGTTAACTTTGACTGTCTGGCTGGACTTGAACTCCTGCAGGCCTGCAAGGCTGTAACATGCCTTACCTGCACCCTGGTCAATAGGTGCACAGGAAAAGACATGTATGCATGCACAGAGACAAGACAGCCATTAGTGATTCAAAATTTAAGAACATCAGTCAGAAGCTGTGCTGGTACCCTGAGTGTAGCAAGAATTTCACCCCTACAGCCCTTATTATTTTCTTCAGTTATTTATTTACTTACAGTACTTTACATATAACCCAGACAGTCACAGGCTCAGATTTTTCCTCTTCTTTCTTTTTTTCAAGTATATATATTTTTTTTAATTCGAGAAGGAGGGAGGAAAAAACTGGAGACTAGTGGCAGAGGTTGACCTGCCAGTGCATTGATTTGAATGGGAACTGCGCTGCAGCTCTTCAGCTAAACTGCTTTAACCTGCCTTGAAATTTGGGATTCTGTTGTGGACGGGCCTCGGAAAGTTTGCCAGATTCTTTTCTTCTATGTAGTCCCAAACTTTCTGACGAATGTCCCATTTCGATCCTCCTGGAGAGAAAATTGGAGTTTAACATAAACGCTAACCGAAGCAACATTTACGTTTTCAGCATCACATTTAGCGAATCGACGACTTTAACAACAATTTTAACGGCAAAACAAACGTTTTACAAAACACTTGACCTACCCGGGTTGATTTTTATGACGGGATCCATCGCTTTATTAGAGCCACGGGTAGGTTTATTCTACAACACTCGGATGCACTCCACGCAGTAATATCGTACACGTGAGCTCTGTAACATAATACTAACGGAACAGCTGCTTGTCAATGTTTATCATTGCTACGGTGGCTCAGAGGGACGATCCTAACGAAACGCGAAAGGGAAAGGTGGTTTTGAACTTCTAGGCAACCGTAGTCTGATAAGCAGAACACTCGCGCTTCTCTAAATACAGAAAATACAGTCGAGAAAAAGCTCATTTTTCTTACTATCGACACGTGTGAAGTCAATTATTTCAAACCTTTTTTGTTAAAATTTTGATCTTTATGCCTTACAACAAAATGCATTTTTATAGTGACAGCAAATGATGCGTGTGGAAAATGGCAGTCAAAGCTTTGTCAGTTATATGAGCCAAATTAAAAGAGTATGCCACTGGTTTTTTCTTCCATTTTTTTGTAAGATAATCATTTCCTTTTAAACATTATTTTACAATTGGAAGACAATCAAGAGATATTTTGCATGTTTTAACATTATTTTGGAACCACTTTTTCAACAACTAGGTTTACATTATGTCTCAGGACAGGTGTAGTTTACACAACAGATGCTTTAGCATGGATTATTTTTCAAATTCATGGGTGGGACACAAAATATCCTCCAACAGTAGGATGAAAATGACTGAAAATACCCACTTTCATTTGTTAGGAATGGGGTCACTAAATGGTTTAATGGAAACTCTGTGAATTATATGGTATTGATTTTGCTTTGCAGGCAACACTTCTCACCCAAGCACTGGACTGATGTGTTAGTGCCCATATCATCAAAATAAAAAATATGTTATGAGTTGTTATATTTTTCTTGTTTTGTTTTTTGTTCTTTTGTTTCTTTTCTGTGTTTTTCTTTTCTGTTTGTTTGTTTGTTTGTTTGTTTCTTAACACAAAAAAATTAAGACAGGATGGGCTGGTGCAAATTCTTTAAGGTGGCCAGAAAAATTAAATTGCAGGGTTCCAGAGCACTATTGTCTGTGTAAGGAAAGGGCCACTTCAGCATCTGTTATGGAGTAAAAACAGGCAGGATAGGGTTGTGGCTTCAGTGTGCGCTTTAACAGCAACTGATTGTCACGAATGACAAGCTGTGATAACAGCAATCTTGCAGGAAACAGGAAATAATCTGAAAAACTTAATGACGAAGTAATTGTTAAGATGTGCTGGTGAAAACTGTTTAAAATCTCAGTTCCTGGCTATTATGGCTTGTAGTTTACCTCCTAAATTTTTGATCCATTAAGACTTTTTTGAGAAATTAAACTAAAGGAGAAAGGAAATAATATTAACGTAACCCAGACTCTACAGCATCAAGGGGTCTCTGTTTAAAACCCTCTTATATTATCTATGTCAGGTTTTACTTTGTTAATATGTTTCCACTTATTAAGGCATTGTAAATGCAAACAAACAGCTCTGTCTTCTTTCATAGTTATCAAATTTTACTGTACCATATTTAAACTGGAGCACCACCTGCAGGTCTTTGGATGTCATAGATGTAAAATGCACGAAAAAAAAAATCTATAGTTTACATGCTTTGACACCTTTTATTTATACATACATACATGTATGTATACATACATACATGTATGTATACATACATACATGTATGTATACATACATACATGTATACATACATACATACATGTGTATATATATACATATACATACACACACACATATATGTGTGTGTGTGTGTGTGTGTGTGTGTGACACCTGTTTTAGTAATCATTATTTACATGTCATAATCTAATATAATAATATAGTGGGACTGATGAAATAAGTCAGGAGCATATTCGCTGCACCATTTTAGCCTTCTTTATCACCATTAAATATTTGCATATGCCTCTGTTATCCAGTGGGATCTGTCATATTTGCATTTGACTGACTAAAAACTGTAAATAAAGGGAATTTTAATAATTTACATATACATTGTTTAGTATGTAATCACTGTGTGGAGAAACAAAAGTGAGAAATGCAAACAACAACTAAAAAATATCTCTTATTATTTGGAAATGCCCAGTCTTGCATGGTGTGTAATCTGTGGATAAATAATTTTATTAAATCTTATTTTGATAATGCTTTAGTTAAGGTTATAAAGGCCCTAAAAAAAAGTCTGCCCTCATACCTTGTAAACTTAATAATCAGAAATCAGAATAAGAAATAATCAGTGGTAAGCTTTTGAAATGTTTAAAACTACAAGTTATGAACTATTAGTAAAGGAGAAACAGTACTGACAATATTAACCTCTTCGTGCATTCAGGTTATATAAGTTGTACACCTTCCATTAAAGCAACATTAGGTACATCAGTTTGCAGCCATTTCTAAAAGCCTGTTATAATAATGTCTTTACGAGCAGAAGAAAGAATTGTAAAAGTGCTAATCATATCAAATGTGACCCATGATCTAAGAACAGTGAGAAAAACATTTTAAAATAGTTTTATTGAATCTATTAAAGTTCTAACTTCAAATATTTCAGGATCAAATTATTGTGTTACATGTTTAAATACCAGTGCTCACATTCTGACTTTAGATAACCGACTGATTATAAAGTTCACATGATAGTTTCTCTCTTTAGCCAAAGTGTTCAAGTGTGTACATATCAAGACTCATAAGAGGCACATATTAACGAATATGAATTGTTCCTTTTAAATGCACATTAACATAATTAGTTCCCTCAATGTGATGCAGTACATGGGAATAACAGGAAACACAGGGTTGTGTTACCTGGATGGTTTTGAGTGGTTGGAGGTGCAAAGTCAGTCTGAACGTGTTTGCTGTGGTTGTTAAGTTTGAAGTGTCCTCAATACAGTAATAATATGCCAGAGTCTAGCCTCTAAAGAGAAGGTGTGCTGTGCTTCCCCTGTGCTGTTGATTTCAAAGTCTGGTTTTGTGTGATGTAAACCTGGACGGTAAACCTAACAGATCACCTGAATACATCATATCCTGCCACTAGAGAGCGACATCCACCAGGTTATTTGCCTCAAGAGAAAGAAACACTATTTTTGAAGGCATGGGATTCATACTTCTGTCAAGTATCACACACAAAATGTATTCTGCTTTAAGTCTGACCTGCACATTATCTGGCTCAACAAAGTGCCTGCAATCCACAAATTGTTGTGTCACATCAATGCATTTGCACACTCCTGCACACTCATTCACACTCGCAGCTTGTCCCCCACTACACTGGTCCATAACCCTCCCTGATACCCCCTCTCTCTTTCTCTCCCTCTCAGTCTGGGCCCACTGCCAACTCAGCCCTCCCTCCCTCTCTCTCCCTGTCTATTCTGTACATACCCAGCCAAGCCTCACAATGCTGCATTTACTAAAGCAAGTGGCTTGGAAATTCACTGCGATGTCGCTGTTCCCAGACCACCCTCCCTGTGTTGGACTCGCTCTGTGAAGCGGTGCAGCGCTCAGACAGCGCTGATGGCAGATCGGGGCACGTGGACTGTGCCAGAGGAAAAGGCGAGATCACCTGTTTGGGAAATCTAGAACAACAGCGGACAAAAAGGAAGGAGGGACAGGCAGGTGGAAGCTTAGGTCTGCTGTGTCCACCCACCCCTTACTCTATTATATACCCACACGAGACTCTCTCTCTCTCTCTCTCTCTCTCTCTCTCTCTCACTCCTTGCCTCTCCCTTTCTTCCCATTTGTCTCCCCCACTCTCTGATGCTGGTGTGGTGAACCGCAGGACACTCTCCGCTGAGCTGCATGGAGGCACAGGGAGGGGCGGGGAGCCCAGGTAAGAGCCATTTTCTATTTTTGCTCTTTTCAGTGCTATAGCGGGTTGGTCACGGCCGAGTGTCTTTTTTTCCTGTTCTGATTGACTTGTGCTGTGGAAAACCTGCCTGTCCTGTTTCCTCGTACATTCATGACGTGTGCAGTTGGGGACTTGCTACATGCCCGGAGCCCGATCTCTCTGATTAATGCTTGTATCTCACGAGTGAGCAACTCTTCTGGTGTAAAGAGTTAATCACTGAAATAGTGCGTGAGGTTTATATACAGGAGTGACCCTTCTGCTCATTCTCATCACCCCGGCGTCCAGCAGTAGGGGGTTCACTGCTTCGTGTTTAATCTATTGTTTAATTGTACAGGTTAATGCTCACTGTAGGTCAACCATGCTGAAGCTGCTCTGATTGAAAATTACAGAACAATAGTAGAGGCATATGGCCTTTGCGTAAAGGCCATCCAGAGAAGCCTCCGCTGCGTGGACCCACTGAGTTGGGCTTCAGTGCCAGTACGTTCACAGGGGTGATGGGATGAAGTCCTAAATCAAGTCTCCTCGTGGGACTAATTAACTTTACTAAATGTAAAACTACAGAATACTTCTCATAATGTATGAAGAGCGACAGGCAGTGTTGCTCTATAAATTTCAGTATCGCTTTTATAGTGGAACCCTGGAGAAATCGAGGAAAGCTTTACTATTTAGAGCCGTAATATTTTTGCACATAATATACGATAATGTGTCTGTAGCTGTCAGTGTATATTGCTCGGTTTTAGTATGTCCCACAAGTAATTAAAATTTTTTGGAAGTTGGTTTCTCCTTAGTGTCTGATTTTGTGAAAGTCCATGGGCCCTATTTTCATACATTATGTATGTCCTTAATGAATGAACTTTATAAAGTCCTTGTTTCATCATACATATAATAATTTCTGATGATTCTTTCAGGCAACTTTGTTAAAATATTCTTTTAAAATATAAAAATCCGGTAATTTGATAATATACAGTCAGGTATATAAATATTTGGACATGACATCATTTTGTTAATTTTGTCTCTGTACACAACCACAATGGATTTTAAATCAAACAAACATGATGAGACTTTCAGCTTGAAATGAACGGATTTGATTAAGGTATTCCATTGAGGATTATTTTTTTGTTTTGTTTTTTTCTATTGGAGGGTCATAGTCCCCAATTTTAATAAGCTCAAAAGTAGTTGGACAAACTAACATAACATGTAAGGACTGTTTTTAATAAGTGAAGGAAAATCTTTTGCAGTAATTGACTCCCTGAAGTTTAGAACCAATGTTGCCAGACCCTTACTGTTACCACCGGCAGCTGCTGCTTATTTGAGGGTCTGTGCTTTCAGGGACTGAAAGACGTGCTCAGTTGTGTGAAT